TTAGAAAAATTTCTTATTTTAAAGAAAAAATTCAAATAAATTTTAAATTATGCAGAATTAAAATAAATACTTTTCTAAAAACTTATAAATATTAAAAGTTATATCCAAAAAAAAAAAAAGGACTTTTTTTTATTATATTTTATATAATATTTTCTTTCTTAAATGACAATATTCATTTTATCTAATCCCAAGTTTCTGGAATTCCTATATATTTTAAATTTTAGAATGAAAAATTGTTTGATTTCATATTGTTTGTGAATTTATTTTAAACGAGAAAAAATGGAGTTGACCATGTCAACTCTTTGATATCCATACGAATTTTGAACGAGTATGCCCTATCTGATTATGGGACAGTCTACAACTTTAAGTTACCGTATTACAATATTAATTTATGCAAAATTTCAGTCGTGTTATTTTAATAGTTTCTAAGATGTGATCAAAAAATCGAGAACCCAAGAACTTTCAATGATTTTTATTAAATTTCACAGTCTCAATATTATATTTGCTTGTGCAAAATTTTGATATTCTAGCTTCTTTTGAGATGTGGTCAAATTGCTTTTGAAGTTGTAGAACAGCTACCCGAATCACTTTCTCGATTAAACCCAATTTAAATAGGGTTCCGGCATTTACTGTTTACAATTTCTTTTTGAGATATCGCTAGAACGAAAGAATGGACAGACGGACGGACAGAGGAACGAACGAACGGACGGGCAGAGGAACAACGAACGGATGGATAGACACACGACTTTAGATAGACACATAACATTATTTCTTAGCGTTACAAACTGTAGGGCAAGTTTATTATACCTTTCGAACATACGTTCGTACGGTTATAAAAAGCATACGAGTATCATTATATTTTATAATAAAGAATGTCGAATATTTTACAAAAAAAATATTGCACTACAATTTAAAAATAAAACTCTTTAAGAAGAAGTAAAATTTTAGCAAGAAGTAAAATTTAGTTAAGGTAAAATATAATAAGTATGATTACAATTTTATAATATTTCGATAAACTGTAGATTTTGGATAAAGTTAGAGCAAAAAATGAAAGAAAGAGATTAAATGAAGAAGACTTTTGTTTCGAGTTTCATTTTGAATAATTGTTCTGAATGAATTCTATATAACTTTTGAAAAAATACGGATATTATTTTCAATTGATAGTCACAAAATGCAATATTTAATGTGAATTTAAAATTTCTTTTTTCAAATCATACTCATATTATATTGAGTTTAAAATTTAGAAAAAAAGTTTTGGAATATATTAAATGAAATACTGAAAGAACTCAAAGTAGCTATACCTCAAATAATTTTACATTGGAATTTTTCCTCGGAAAAACATTGACATAATTTCAATATACTAAATATACCTAAAAATTTAGGCTTTTTTACGGTGACAAAATCAATTAATTTTTAATAACACTAATATCGAACAGTATAATAATATCCTAATAATATTTTCTATATATTACGATATATATAATATTTAAATATATATGTATGTGCTATAAATTATTAATATTAAAACCAAAAATATGAGGTTTTCAGTTTTCTTTTTTATGGAATCGGAGAAATGTCATATACATACATAAATTTTTGAATTCAAACCCATTTGCAGTGGTTTTCTTTGAAATGCTCTTTGAAATACTGATTTTTTTTTTTTTATAAAATAAGGATAAGTACATACCATATATTAACATATTGTATACATATATTAATATATGTACATATCAATTTACTTCATAAAGTTTGATATTGTATAATATTAAGTGTCGTTATATATTATTATAATCTCTTTATCTATATGTATATATACTTCCTGTACTGGACCCAAAATTCTTTATCATAACGGAATGTCATTGCATATACACATAGATACGCATTTACTTACATACTTATAAATGTAGACAGTCCATTTAAAGTTTCCTTTTTAAATTTTTCTTCGGATATGAAAACAAGGACATACATTTTATATCTTTGGCATGTATATATGAAAAAATATATTATTATAATATTATACATATGTATAAAAGATCAATAAAATATTTTTCAGTTTAAATTTTCAAAAACAAAAAAAAAAAAGATTTAAGAATAATAAAAAAAAAAAAAAACATAACACTATACTCTAAAAAGAAACATTTTTATCCTTGAGATTATGCCATAAGAGAAAAGGAAGGACAAAAAAAAAAGAATAAAATTCAAATTGAAAACAAATCTTAAAAAGTATATTGGCAATGTTTAGAGTACGTCCTGACCACAACATTTTGAAAAAAAAAAATTCTCTGTCAACCCAAGCGAAAATATAGAAATAACCTGTTTCCTGTTCAATATGTTGATAGATTCCAAAAAAAAAAAAAAACAAATAACAAAAATTGAAAACAATATAAAGGAAAAGTAGAAAAATAAAGGAAAACAACTTTAGAAAAATACCAATAAATAAATATTTTTCTTATGTATGAAAAAGTGATAAAAACATTGAAATATTATTTTTATTGAAAATTGAAAATGGAAAATGGAAAATGGAAAAACTATATATATAAAAAATTATAACGATTTTTTCTTAATAACGAAAAATTTACTTCACCTCCCATTGGAATTATTTTTACTCTTCCTACTCACACATACTTCTATTTTATGTAAACACGTTTTTCATAATACATGCATACATACATACGTACATCCGAGTACAGAAAGTCATTTTAATTTTGTAACTTGAAAAGTTTCTTTTTCTTGTTTTCTTTGATTTATTCTTTTCTTTTCAACTTTGCTTAAAAGGACATTTTGTTATATGAGATTTCCTTTCTTTTTTTTTCTAGTACTTGTTAATAAAAAAAAAAAATTTCCTCTTAAATGTTTATTTAATTTTTTTTTGGTTTCGAATGATGATTCATATATTTTACATATGTACATACATATATACTTAAAATTCAAAAAAGTTTTCCAAAAAAAAAAAAAGAAAAAATGAAAATTATAATTTACCAAAAAAAAAAATTTTTTTTTTTTTTTTGTTTGTATTTCATATGTGACACATGAGTGAAACTTATTTAACAAAGTTCTTTAAAATTATTTGATTTGAAATTTTTATTCTTTGATTGCTATGACATTTTTAAATTATTAATTTGCTAAAAATATTTATATAATAAACAAAATTTTATAAAAATTTTAAATTAAAATTATTTTAATTATTTTAGAAATAATAAGAAATGAGAATTGAGATAGAATTGACCGTGTCAATCCTGTGATACTCGTACGAATGAATGATTTTAAGTGCTGTGTATTAATTGCAACACTCTTCCATATATACTCCTGGTTTCTTATTCATTTATGCAAAATTTCAGTATAGTGATTTCAATAGATTTTATAATATATGACTTTCAAAGTTGAGTGGCAGTTACCCCTGCAAATCAAGAAATTTCAACTAGTTTTATCAAAAATATTGGAGCCCTAATAAAATATTTGCTTAGGAAAAATTTAAATACTGTATAGGTTTCATAATTTTTGAAATCCAGTCAAATAAATTTTAAAGTTGTATGGCAGTTACCACAAGAAGTCAAGAAATTTTTTGTTACCAAACAACACGATTTTTGTTACACAAAACAATCTCAATAATGTATTTGCTTGTGCGAAATTTTGATATTGTAGCTTCAATTATTCCTGAGATATTTAAATAGCTGTTAAAGCAGTAGAACAGCTATCCGAATCACTGTCTGGGTAACATCCAATTTACATAGAGTTTTTGAACCTGATATTATAAATCATTTGTGAAAATTTAGTGAGCTAAGCTTAATTAATTTTTGAAATATCACTGGAACGCACGGACAGCCGGCCAGGTAAACCGACAAGGTTAAATCGACTTAGAATTCGAAACTGATCAAAAACATACACTTATGTCTATAATATAGACCATTTTTTCTAGCGTCTGAGAACATATTTTCGTAAAGGTACAAGAATTTGACTTTACTGTAGATTAAAGATACGAAATTTTCTTATTCCTTTCATAATGCTTTTAAAAGTTTTCCAATAAAGTTATTTGAATACGAATTATGTTCATATATAATAACAAACCCTAAATAGATAACTGAACAAGCTTGTCATAATGGACAACTAGTTTCCTTGATTACTTATAATCTAACTTAACCAATACTGTAATTAGAAGTAATAAAATTTTATTAGTATAATAAAATTTTTAGAAGTGAATATTTTGCAATAAAAATTAAAGAAAATGCTCTTAATAAAAATATTCTAATATACCTCGTTAAATGCAATATACATTTTATATAAACTAAGGATTTGTAAAACGAAGTAGTGTTAAGATTATAAGAACTTATTGAATTATAAAAACATTTATATATGAAAAAAATTCCTTAAAATATCTCGGCTACATTGTGAGCCCCTTCGTCCTTTTCACTCTCTTATTTCCAAATTATCCACTTTTCTTTTAATTTATTGAAAGAACATACTAAGAAAACATAAGGATAAAAAAAATAAATAATGAAAATCACATAAATTTTCTTAAATCACTTTTACTTCTTTTTCAGTGCATTTTAAGGAAAACATATAAGAAAATTTAAAAAAAAAAATAAATAAAATTAAAATATAAAATTGAACTATTTTGAATATCGTTTAGCTAATATTTCAAAATTTTAAATTAATAAAGAAAAAAATAATCATATTCCTGTTCCTTAAAAGCATAAAATAAACAATAACAATAAGAGAACATGTCGACCTTTCACGACAGGATAAGTACTGGGAAAAGTGTGAAAAATATGAAAAATTAAACTTTTACCAATATTTTATCAAGAGGTTTTAAAAAAAAAAAAATACCTTTAAAAGGTTTTCCGTTTTTGTTTTCTTTTTCTTTTTTTTTTTTATAAAATATTAAAAATTTATCACTTATTTACTTTTTTTTCTCTCACTTGTCGTCCTTGTTTTTACTTATTTTTTTGTTTCGTTTTTGTTCTTTTATTAAAATTTCTTATTTTTTGTTTTTGTATCTTTAGTTGCTCCGGAACATGTGACGATAGCAGGACCATCTGAAGCTAGAGTTGGTGATATTGTAGCATTAACTTGTACAACAGAACCATCAAATCCACCAGCGGAAATTAAATGGATGGTTAACGGAAAAAATTTAAGGAATACTACTTCAAGAACAGTTGTTAGCCCACAAGGTATGTATATATGTACAATATATTTGTGGTATGAACGTAAATACTTTTATATATTCTTGTATGAGTCTTAGTTCCAATATACATTCTTTTTTTTTTATGTATGATTTATGTGTTTAGATTATGTTAGCGGAAAATAAGGACACGAAAAAAAAAAAAAATAATAAAAAAAAAAGTAAAAATTTGAACTATTTTAAATGCAAGTATTTTTCTCTTTTTCTCTTCTCATTTTTTTTTTTTTATTATCTTTTTCGTTTCTTTACTGATCTCCATTTATATAAACTTAATTCAATCCCCTTCTTTAAAGTATTATGCATATATAAATAGATATTACTTAAATATATTATATATATATATATATATATAACTTAGGTATAATGTAGTTAAAGTCAGTTAAGGATAAAATGAAAAAGGAAAAAATAAAAAATTAGAAAAAAAGTACGAGAAAAATAAAAAAAGAAAAAATATGTACATAAATCTGAGGATCATGCTTTTTTATGATAAGATAATCATGACAATGACATTAAATAAGGAGGTAAAATACAGTAAAGAAATGAGTTTTCCGAAGAAATACTCAGTATGCATAATATAAGCTTCTGTTATATTACACAAAAGCATTGAATTTATTAAAAACACACGCATATATAATATATAGCAAGAAATTATACTTAAAAAGATTATTATTATTACCCAGGAATAGAAATCATTATGTCCTTTTCCATTCTTCTATATTATTTGAATGTGCTCCCATGTTCCGGATGAACCGGATGAAAATAACATAACCAAAAAGAAATCATAGACAGTAATAAATTAAAAAGAAAATTATGGCTTTGATATTATAAGTATAAACTCGAAAAGAAAAGAAAACAAAAAAGACTAAGGACAAAAACGTGAAAAAAAAACAACAACAACAACAGCAAAAAACTAACAAAGAAAAGTAGAATTATACAGGCTGGTTATTAAGATCTTTTCCTTTAAGTAAAATTTAAATTTATTGTAATAAAAATGAAATTTCTCAAAATGATTTTTTTTTTTTATGCTCTCCGTTTTTCTTATTCTATATATATATACGGTAAAACATTAACAGTAAATCATGAAAAAAAAAAAAGAAAATCCTCTGTGGTTATTAAAAAGTAGGTTAATGTATATAATTGTATAACATGATTTTAAACGCGTCACGGATATTAAAGTAAAAATTTTATTGTACAAAACCCCCCGTTCTTTTTTTTTTAAATTATAATCTCCCCCATATTATTGTATATTATATTATATATTCTTTAAGAATCTGACACAATAATCTAAAATCTAACCTGTTTATTCTATTCTAATGGTATAAGAAAATCAAAATATTACTACAAGGATGCTTTTAGGTAATACTTGATTTTAACATTTTATTTATGATTATTGCGTTCTTTTATAACAAAAAAATATTGTTGCAAATATTGCGTGTACGCATTATTTTCTATTATAATTCTAGACCCCCAGATATGTATAAGTATGTATATAATATATTTTAATTTTGCTGCAAAGATTTTAATTGAAAATTTAATTATTAAATGGGTTTTCCGAGAATGATAATTATAAAAAAAAAAGGAAAATTCTTTTAGATAATAAAAATATGAAAACTCCCTCAAGTAATAGATTAAATACAATAATACTGGTTAAAAATTAATAACTTATATATAAACTGTAATTTCTTTATTTGTAGGGTATACAAGCAATATTATTGCCATATTAGTAATAATTATATAAATTTAAATATAGAATAATTAAATAATTGCAAAATTTCTGCTGTGTTCATTAAATTGCGAAAAATTTCCTTGCAATATAAAATAAATAAATAATTTTAATACATGAATTTTGGGCATAATTATGTAAAAATACTGAATTTCTTGTAAAATTTCCTCAAACAATTAAATAGTTGGTTTTTTTGCAATATAGCTAGTTGATACGAGTATTTTTCATATATGGGTTGTGAACAATTGGTTCATTTGGTTGAATTTTTTGAGCAAACTTTTGAAGCTTGTCTATTCAATGATAGGATAGGAAAAACTTATTTTAATTTTTTGATATAATTATCTAAACCCATGAAAATTTTTCAACATAATGTGTCTTCAATTATGTTGAAACATTTTAAAGACGTGAAAGTTTTTGTTTCGAGAAAACATGTATTAATTCTTGAAAAATTGCTATTGTTTTTTGAAAGTAAACCAAAAAGATGAGTGTAAGTGATTTGAAGATCACATGTATATGGAAAATTATTTATTTACTAACCGTTTTATGCAACATTATAATATGTATTTATATAACTTTTATTTTATAATATAGGTGGTTGGATAACAACATCAAATATTACAACAACAGTTGAACCACATGGTAGAACATTAATGATTCACTGCCATGCTCAAAATCATCAGGTATCAGCAAATGTTGGAAAAGCTCATAGCGTTAGCATATTATGTAAGTGTCTTTTTTTTTTCTTTAATTTCTATTATTAAATAGAATTTTTATAATATTTTTTGTAAAATTAAAATTACATTGTTTTATATAAAAATTTCTTACAATTTGAATATAATTTTTTTTTTCTGAGTTCCATTTTCAAAGAAAATCAAAGAAAATTTTTTAAAAAAATTTTTTTCTTTTGAGATTTAATAATGTGATATCTTTAACAAAGCTAATAATATTTTTAATATTTAAATAAAATGAGTGAATAAATTCTTTAATTTAATATTATGCTGGTTAAAATATAGGGTGTGCCTTTTTTTTTTTTGAAAAAAAAATGACAATATTATACTATAAAAATATTTGTTATGAGGATTTTTTTCGCATATCACCAACCTGAATAAAAGCACATCAGTTGTTTTATACAGGGTGCTTCACATAAGGTGGAAAATAATTTTTAAAAATGATTATTTAATCAATTTGCACTAAAAATATGTGTGGGGGGGAGGAAGGTGGGAGGGCCGATATACTCGTTTTTAAACTACAGCAATTATTGGATGATTAGAAAAATATAATTTGCAACTATTATTAAGAAATCACTCTTAAAATTTGAAAAATATTTTGAGGAAAGAAAACATTTGAATTGCATAGCGACAACATAAGCATTTTTAATTTCACTTTGCATTATAATTGCTTCCAGAAATTCCTGTCCGAAGAACTTTACCTCAACCTTAGAGAAAAATTAACTAGAGAATATGAGGTTTCACAATAATTTTTTAAAAAAATATTTTTCCATACTCATAAATTGAATACACCTTATACGAGTACTAGAATTTTATTCTATATTAAAACAAATAGAATAAAATGCACGATTTAAGCTTTAGTTTCTTTTAATATAAAATTACCCGTATATAGGGGGAAAAGAAATGTTTTTTAAGAAACTTTTTTTTTGTTAACATTCTTCATAATTTTTAAACTTATTATTTTTTATTTAATTTATTAAATAAAATCATTTTTTCCATTTAAAATAGTGTTTTTAAAAAAAAATAACAATAAAAATTAAAAATTTAACAATAATTTTAAAAAGAAACTTTCTACAAAATTTAATTTTTATAATTTTTTATAATTCTTTTACTTTACTTTTGGAAAAAAAATATGAAGTATCTATATTGTAAAAGATTTCTTTTTGAACAATATTCCGCGAATCTCTTTTCTAAAAGAGTAAACGAAATATTTTCTTATAAAAATTTTAAAGAATCTAGGTGCGAGCATACATACATACGAGTATACTTACATTATAATAAGACCCGAAAAACCCAAAAAGAAAAAAGATATTATGAAAATACCGTAAATAAAATATACGTTATGATAAAAACATAAAAAAAAAAAAATATTATAGATGAAAATTTTTTAACTATGTCAGCCTTCTTGACTGTTATGCTTAATGTGATTTTAAAAATCACAAACTATCTATAAATTTGACAAAAATTATTATATTTTTTTTTTCGATTCTTTTGATTTTATACTCATTCCCCTCCTTCTCGCTTCCATATTAATACTTTAAATCTATATCACATAATATTTACCTTATATACATGTATGAATATAAACGTTCCTGTATCCATTATGAAGGACTAACATGAACGACTATAGCTATATAATTTTATATTTTCTTTATGTAATTTAAAGGCAACTCAAGAAAAACGAGAGAAAAATAAAAATTATAATATTTTTATGTGATGCGGGTTATTTTATAATAAAATCTACTTATAATAACTGCATGTTATGTACCTACGTTATATGGATCATATACACATACTCTATAATATTTTACAATTTTATATTATACATATATATAATATGAATCCTTATTACGTGTACATCATTTTCATTCAAAATATTTTCAACGTTTATGGAATAAGAAAAAACGAAAGTAATTTTTTTTTCTTCTTTTACAAGAATCAAAGGTATACAAAAAAGAAAAAATGAAATTGTAGTCATAAGAAGAAAAAAAAAAAAGAAAAGAAAATTAAAATTTTCTTCCTTGAAAAAAGAAACAAATAAGAAAATTGTATAACTCTGTAGATGCAAAAAAAAAAAGAAAAGGGAAAACTAAAAAAAAACTATAGTAAATTTTATAATGAAAGCACCATGAATAAAATTGCATATTATTTATACAAATATCATGAAGAATAATAATAATTTTTTTTTTTTACTTTTCTTAATACAATAATGTATGATATGTACATAAAATACAATTTATTAGTACATTACGCTCATTTATATTATATTTATTATTATAGATTTTATGATGATGGTAAAGCTAATTTGCAACATTATATACCTATACCTACACTCATTTTCTCTTTAAACAGACACTTTTCTTTAGCAGTTTTCCAAATAAAAATAATAAAATGCTTATTAGTTTCACTCTGCCTGTCCGTTAACTAGATTCTTAGAATTTATTTCTGTAGAACAAAATTTTTAACCTACTTCGCATTCTAGCACATATGGCGCCCGAAAGTCCTGCAAAATCCATTATTGATTGCTTATTGTATTATGGAATCACAAACATTTTTTAAATTCTATAAACGCAGAGAAATAACTACTGATTACTTGCATTGCAATACAGTATAAGAAAATATTACAATAACAAACTGACTGATATCTCAAATAAAATCAAAAAATCCCTTATACTCAAATTTTGATGTCTTTTTCCTTTTATGCGATACGTTGTATAAATCTGAAATTTTTGATAATTTTTTAGGTATGTAGTATTTAAAATTTTTCCATTACACGAAAATTTTTGTCCATCTCCACCCGCTTCAAAATTATTGCTTCTTGATATTCGGAAAATTTTAATTTCCGGAACCTTATATTTCCGAATTTCCAAACTTTTTCAAATTTCAATAAAAGCAAAAAGTAAACGATATATTCCTACCATTAAAAAATATAACATTATTTATCTTAACTGACTTAATCCTTGAATTTGATCGTTATTTTGACAGTTCTCTTATTACTCGGCCGAAATATATGCAATAATTTGAAATATTCTGGTATTTTAGTGAAATTATTTTAAATAGCAAGTAGATTATTGAAAAACACAGGGTTTTTTTTTTGTTCAAGAGAAATGTGCTACTTTATAAGACATATATTTGATTCAAATTTATCTTAATATATATTAAGATACTTAACATATAAATATACACAAAAATCTGTTATACACATTGATAATATACATAATATAATATTTTATTATTGCATAATATATATTATGAAAAGTTGTTGTTGCGCCTCACTAATAATATATTATAAATATACTTATGAAACATAAACATTATTATACATATACATACGTTAATACATCTGTATACATATGCATAAACTTTTATTGCAATAAAAGTTAACGTGGCATAGAATTCGCGGCTTATAAAACTTTAAGTATACGCACGTATATTCTAAAGTCTTAATGCAAATAAATAATAAAATTGTTATAATAGCTAAAAATGTGCAAGAGATATTTTTATATTTATAATGAACTCAACTGGGTGCTTTACTTAAAAAATTACAAATTAATATGTATTACAATATAAGTATTATATTATGGGTATATGTAAATAATATTAATATGTAACGTGTATTATATTGTGGGTGGTATACACTTATTTAATTAAATACATTTTTAATTTTTTTTTTTTCATAAAATTAAAATTTAATATTTTATACAATTTGCGTTAATGCCTACAAATTTAAATAAATTTATAGAAAAATTTAATAAGTACTTTAAAATTTAAATTTTAGTGATTTGAATGAACATTCTATATAATACATAGGAAAAAATTAATTTCTCTTAATATTGAAAACACATTTTGATTTTGAGTGGAACCGTGTAATAATCGAGTTTGATCTTATTCACTAATATTGCATTTTGTGTTAAATTTAAAAATTAAATAAAATTTTTTAATAAATTTCGGAGTTTTAGTAATAGCAATTTAAATTTAACTTATCAACTAGTACCAACTACATTGATTTAATTGGAAACTAATAATTTCTTAACATTATTCACTCTGTACATAGTATTATAAGTATAGCATTTTCTTTAATTTTTTTTCTACATTTTTTTTTAATAATTGAAGAAAACTTATAGCAAGGATATCACTAACATTATCATTGCTATAATAATCATGATAATCATCATAATCAACGTGACAGTGATGTCATTATATGTGTACGGGTATATTTTAAAGTTATTATGGAAGAAGGATATTTTCTTTTTGTTTCCTGTTTGTTGCTTCTTTCTTCCAAAATATTTTTTTTTTTTGTGTTTTCTTATTCTAAAAATTTTGAAATATTCATTTAACTAACAGGTAAACAAAATAATATGAATGTATATATATATAGGTATAATTGAATATATTATATTATACAATTGCACTTCTATAACAAAAGTGTTCTAACTAAAAAAAACAAACTGATTTCGAGAAAAGCGAGAGAAAAAACTGTTTCCAACTTAATTTGAAAAGAATTTAACACGTTTAATATAGAATTGAATGTGCATATCTATGAATATAAAATTGTGTCTGAAACGCTCTATATACATATTTGATAGCTTTGAAATTTTGAAAATTTTAATCAATTTGGAGCCTAAGAAATTAAATTTTCTAAATTAAAAGACTTTTCTCGTAGGAGTTGAAATAAAAATTATACCATAATAATAATATATACTCGTAACATGCCATGGTACATATCATATAACATAATATATACAACATGTATAGAGTCATATGAGGACGATGTATAACATCGCTTAAAATAAAGAAGTTGAGCGGAAAATTTATCCTTGGCAATTTCAAAATTTATTGTTCGAGCAAAAAAAAAAAAAATACAAAATTACATAGCACGCTTTCTCACAATTGTTATACTTTATATTGTGTTTCGTGTTATATACACATATTCATACATATAAGTATGTATGTTAAAAACTGCATTTTAATATCACGAAATTATAACACATTTAT